GAACTGAATCTGAGAGCGCCCGAGAGAACTTTCTGAGGTGAGGATAATGCTTCTATCTTGATGGGATTTGCACTACACGAGCGCACACATTTTAAAACTCATTGAATGGTATACCTAAGATGTGTGCATTTCACTCTAAGTATCTTTTACCTTAAAACATTAAATACAAATATTAAACTCTAATTTATGATATACTGAAGTGCTCAGGGGTGAAGTATACTGGAACTTTGAAATGCATAAAATAAGGTGGATTGATGGATGGGTGGATGGATAGATACGGGTGCGTGGGCATTTACTGAACAGGTCTGCTGTGGAACAGGGGCGCCACCGTTTGAAAATAAGACTTAAGAGACCAAGTTCTGCAACCCAAGCGATGGCCAGATTCCCCATCTTTAAGGCTAGGGAGCTGGACTAGCCTAGCACTAAGAAGCCTTCTAAATATAATATAAATAAATAAGTAAAACTGACCTAAGTAAAACTAATACGCTACATAGAGTATTAGTACTAAGGCACGAGGCTGTCGAGATCAATGAATAACCAACATGCTGCAAATATGGAGAGATTTTCTATACGTTTGAAGCTGCAGCTGTGGTGGCTTAAAAAGCCCCCTCAGGGGCTTCCCTGGTGGCGCAGTGGTTAAGAACCCACCTGCCAATGCAGGGGACATGGGTTCGAGCCCTGGTCTGGGAAGATCCCACGTGCTGCGGAGCAACTAAGCCCGTGCGCCACAACTACTGAGCCTGCGCTCTAGAGCCCGCGAGCCACAACTACTGAAGCCTGCACGCCTAGAGCCCGTGCTCTGCAACGAGAGGCCACCGCAATGAGAAGCCTGCACACCGCAACGAAGAGTAGCCCCCGCTCGCCGCAACTAGAGAAAGCCCGCGCACAGCAACGAAGACCTGATGCAGCCGAAAAAAACAAAAAGCCCCCTCGGTCCTGAGTACTGGGCCCAGGAAGGTCTCCACCCTATTTGTACCCCACCTCATGACACTGTCCTTCTTCTCGCTCCATTTCACTGATCCCTGGGTTCCATGGTCACCTGTCACGGTCTTTCCCACTCAGCAAACACCAACGCTGTCCCCGCTATTGAGAAACCCCCTCCCTGCCCTTGGCTCCCAGCTAATTTCTGTCCATTCCTAGACCTCAGCTTCCCCTGGTCCAGTCTAGACTGAGCAGACCTCACCTCACCCCTGAGTAAAGTACACAGACAATGATCAAAATTACTTATTCAACAACATATGACGTCTTTCTCTTTAGACGAGATGCTCCATGAGGGTTAAGACCGACCTGTGCCTCATCTTCAGCAAGTGGCCTGCAGATGCCTACAGCCAACATTCCATCTGTCGACAAGGTGTCCAGCACAGTTCTGTGCACTTTACGCGGGTTATTGCATTTACGCTCTTCTTAAGCCTTCGAGTGTGTGTTGACGAAGGCTTCTCTTCTGCTCTTTCTTCTGCAAACGACCATCAGTCAGTAAAGATGTGTGGGCCCCTAGGAAGTACCAGGTGCTGTGCTCAACAAACAGGCTGTAACAGTAAACACGAGGCCCCACGTCTGTGCTGCGGAGCCCAGGCTGTTGGGAACACACCCAGACAGAGTGGGAGCCGTGCGTCCAGGGACAAGGAGGAAACACGGGGTACCTGGCAAAATGCTTCATGTTTTAAAAATGGCACACAATTAACTTCTGGTGAAAAAAAGTAACTGGAAAATCTGTCATTCATCCAATCACTGCACAAGCAGCTGCTCACCATCGAGGGGTCGGGCCGTGCCGGGAGGGTCTCGGGACATGCAGAGGAACGTAGCACACGCGGAGCACACCATGCACACGGGCAGCTCGGGGCACCGGCCACAGCAGCCTCGACGCCAGCCTGCTCCTGCTAAGGCGCCCCTCTTACCCCCCGACCCCCCGCAATGCTGCAGTTCAGATCCCCCGAGAACCTTCCCCGGGCCAGCAGCTGATCTTCACTCCGTTCCCTCCCACAGGACGCAGAGAGGATGCCCCTTTCAAAGGTTAAACGGAAGCATCTCAGAAGCAATCAATGCTCCAGGGTATCAGTCGCTATGATAACTGAGACTGGATGCGGTCGAGACGCCTCTGTCTTCTGGGCAGGCTGCTTCCTGCTCTGGGAACGGCTTCTTCTTTCTAACTGTACCAGTGCTTTCCCGACTCACTCGAGAATCCAACCTGAACTCTTGGCTACACAAGAATTGTGCAGAAATTTAAATGGAAATCAGAGCAGTATCTTCTGTTACCTAATAAGGAAAATGCTAATTAAAAGCCCCACCCTTGGGCTTCCCTGGTGGCGCAGTGGTTGAGAGTCTGCCTGCCGATGCAGGGGACACGGGTTCGTGCCCCGGTCCGGGAAGAGCCCACGTGCCGCAGAGCGACTGGGCCCCTGGGCCATGGCCACTGAGCCTGCGCGTCCGGAGCCTGTGCTCTGCAACGGGAGAGGCCACAACAGTGAGAGGCCCACGTACCACAAAAAAAAAAAAAAAAGCCCCACCCAACCCCCAACTTCCCCCCCTCCCCGCCAAAGATTAAACATACAACACTGTTATAAATAAGCAAAAGTGTTTAGGGTTAAAAGTGTAATTTTATTTAGATGTTACTTGTACATAATCTATAGTAAGATATACAAACAGATAAAAATTGTTTACTAGGAGGTTTTTTTTTTTTATACCACTTTAAATTCAATGTACAACAGCATTGGTAATACTGCAAGATGACAGACTCTGGTTTAGAAAACAAAAATTACTTGCTACTGTCGCTGACACATTCCCATGAGTGTTCAATGGATGAAAATGCATCATGGATTTCAGCTGCAAATTATTACAAAACTTTCACAACCTAGCCACTTGGTGCTCAGAAAAGATTTCGATATTCTAAAAATTTACTGAAATGAAAATGCTAATTCTCCAACAGTATACTTCTACTGAAGAAAACCAAAAGTGACCAAATCTTATGGTTTGGGGCCAAGAACAGAAAATCAACCACATCATGGGTGGTTCTGAGGAATCTTCTCATCCCTCTGCCTGATCTATGACGTGAGGAAAAGCTTGTAAGAAATTAAACTAAATACACGCCGGGGGAAACGGGACAATTTAAAATAACCTTACCACATACAACTACTTTAAAATGTAAGATCCATGGATATGAAGGATGCATTTACATGTTTTTCTCCATCTGTTTTGTAAATACTTTTTGCAAATGAGAACGGACAATTCAAAATAGTCACTTTTTCCTTTTCATGTACTATCATATTAGAAAAAGTCTGGATTTCATTTTTAGAATAAATCAAATGCGCTGAGAAAAATACTGCAAAAAATAATCTACACTGGATTTCAGTCCTCTCCCCTTCTGTTAAAGGCTACGTAACACATCAGGGCGAAAGCTTTTTCACTAGTCAGAATATCAAGTTGAAAATAACTTGCTAATTAAACTACAGGAAGACAACCAATACTGAACAGGCTCATGAATATTTACGGATAAAGTGCCACTAATTTTATCGTGATGAGATATCAACAGAAGAAATCCTGACACGGACAGTAGCTTTACGCATTCTCTCCATCCTGAGGACAGAAGGGCCGTAAGAAAACCCAAAGAAGCATTACAAGTGCAAGTTCTAGAATGACACGGGCGACTCCTCGTCCAAAGTAAAGCTAAAGACGAAATATTACAAGAAAGACAAAATACGATCGGAAGCAGTAAAAGTCCCAAGGAAAATGCCAACACAGTTGGCCTCCACACTGGGAAAAAAAGGAGAGAAATTAAAGAGAGGAACTGAAAAGTTCACTAACAGCTACTACTTACAGGCAATATACGTATGGTGACGAGCTCCAAGACACAGAAACTCAATCAAGAACCACGTGCCCAGACAGCTGGCTTTAGCTGAAAAGACTCAGATAACCTGGCCCGGGCACTGGGAAAGGTAATACAGACCTGAGGCTTTTCAGAGTTCCAACCTAGGTGACTAAAAGCCCGTCAGGCTGGCCTTACAGGATGACCACGACCTTCCACAGGACACAAGTGTCCCTCGGGGACACAGACGTGATGGGGGGGCCCGGTGACGTCCTGAGGAGAACTCATTAACAAAAGCCGGCAGTCGGGGTCCTGCTGACATTCTACCATCCACCCAAACACCTCTGTCTCAGCTACAGATTCCTGGGCCACAACTGAGAGTCACTAGGACCCACACAGTCCGTTTGACACACGGTACAGACGAAAGAACTGCTCAGTGGGTAAAGTGTCTCGTACATCTGTGAAGTTATATCTGAGATCAAAGCCTGGGATGTTTATTCCTTCCACACAAGCAGTTACCCTTCACCCAGCATTACAGAATGTAAGTTCTCATTCATGAGTTTCCCAGGGGTTTGCCTTGGGCAGGAAAATCTGTCTGGGCTCGCGTGTCACCACGTGCGAGGGGACAAGGAAGGGACATGACCTGCTCCAGCGAAGGGGCGACTCTCCTCTGAGGTACCTGGTCCAGCCTCGTGTGCTGACGACCGTGTGGGAAAGGGACCGATGTGCTTCTAGGACAGAGCGAAGGCCCTACTCGTGCTGGGTCCCTAACTGGCCATCGCACCAGGAAAGGTGAAAAGCTGCCCCAGTCTCCTCTCGCCTAAACTGAAGCTGTCAGGATTCAGACCAGGTGGGGCGAGGTGCCGCCTGGCCCCTCCTCTGCAGCACCGAGGCCTCCACGTGGCCTCACTTGGCACATGGCTCCGGAAGAGAGGTTGTGCAGGGCTCTGCACCCGGGGCCACCCGGGGCCGGGCAGGCTGGCACCCGAGCTGCAAGGACCGCCAAGGGCTCTGCATGCCATCGCACACGGCAGTGGCCCTGAAGGAAGAAGGGCTGATCTCCACTTTCATTACGGCTGCGCTGCTGAAACCTCTTACAAAACTCCTCGACAAGCACCGACTCCACGGATGCCCACAGGGGATCCTGCCTGCAAAGGGCCACGTTCCCATTTCACAAGAGGGAGCAAAGGAAACGCAATTCTTCAACGGAGCGTTCCCACGCACAGACGCTACCAGGCCAAGAGACTGAAAACAGAAACGTCTAATTCTCCTACTTGTCAAATCTTTCTCTCTAGAACCAACTTCTTCTGAAACACATTTAAAAAAAAAAAAAAAGTGGAAACAGTATCTCTTACGGATGGGAAGACATCAGTCTGACGCACAGTCATTAATCTTGCAAAGACCAGACATCAGGCAGCTTCACAAACGCACAGCGAGTCTGCAGGATTCTAATGATCAAGGGGAGTGAACCCAAACTGCACTAAGTACTCTCGTGGCCAGGAGGAAGGAAGCAGAAGGCTGTTTTCGGGACAATGCAATAGTGACAGCTTATTTCCTCATGTGCAGCACGGTTTGCTATGTTTCGTGGCACTTAAGTATTCCACAGTAAATACTGAAAAACCCAGAATTTTTGCATGTGCAAGAGCAATCTCACGTTATCGATACAAAAGTCGCTAAGCTACGGGATTATAATACCACTACGTGGGCGCCGGGGCCACAGAGATCGTCAGCACACTCCCCAGCCCGGGGCCCTGGGCGCCAGCCTCAGTCGGACCAGTCGTTCTCGTCCAGCTCCGAGTCATCGTCCGAGTCGCTGTACTCGACGGCGATGCGGCGGGACAGGATGGTGGCCACGTCGTTGCCCACGGGCTCGCGCTTGGCTTCCTGCTCCTGCAGTTCTTGCACCTTCTTCAGCTGAATTCCTGGATACACGGGACACGGCTTAGAACGACACCCCTCGGCTTACTGCTCCAATCACACAGAACGGACAGGGAAGTCCACCCGGCTGCTGTTCTCCCCACTGACACCCTCAGAAAAAGCTTGAGAAATGTGAGGGCAGAAGCTTGGGAAACAGAGTTTCACGAGCAAGAAAAAAGGAATGTGCAAAGTCATAAGGTTCTTTACAGCGGTGCGTTGAAATGTAAGAAAGTCAGTTACAATTTCAGCGCACACGAGCACCGTGAAAGAAAACTCCAGGACGGCACAGCCTGACCCGGCAGCCACCGGGCACGAGAGGCTGTTTCAAGGTAGATTTACGGTGGCCGGTGGCCCCCATAGGGGACCATGTTCCTGGACAGCCTGGGACCCAAAGGCTTGGGAAACGGAGCCAAGCTTCTGGCTAAGCGGGCGAAGTAAGTGAGAAAGCTCAACTTCAACAATTACCGTTGAAAATGGGTATGAGATCGCCATCACCTTACTCTCTTACTTTTGTAAGTAACAAAATGGGATATCTAACAATGTGCTGTGTTATTTCCTCAACCTTTTCTTTCAGAGTAATTTCAGACCTATAAAGTACCCGTAAGACTAGCAGAAAAACGTTCCCATATAACCTACTCAGGTTCCCCAACTGATAACATCTGACCAAATTTATCCTCTTTCGCTCTCATTTACACACACACACATACTTTTTTTCTGGACCATTTGAGAGTTAAGTGGCATATAATGTCCCTTTGCCCCTAAAATACTTCATGTATCTTTCCTAAAAAAAAAATTGATCAAAATCATACTAGCAGCAGAGATACAATAGTACCATCTATTCTATGAATTTTATTTAAAATTTGCAAATAGACCTAATATAACAAACGAAAACAGTTTTCCACCAGGTTTGGGATCCGCCATGGGGTCTCACCTGTTCCATTACTCGCCACGTTTCATTAACCTCCCTTAGTCTCTGTGTTCTACGACCTTCACATTTCTGTAGGACGTCCCTCGATGTGGACCCCTCAGAGGTTTCCTCTGACACATCCAGGTTACGGATCCCTCTCATTGGACAAGGCTCACAGGTGTCAAAAAGCAAAACACTGTCCTACCAGGACCCTACCCAGGACCCTACCAGGACCCCGAACGCGTGATCAGTGAGGTATTCTGACTCTGGGACTTTCTTCTTGACAAAATCATCGTGCGTCAGTAACGTCAATGCATACAAGAGCTCCCCGCCCTGACCTGACCAGAGACGCTCCACTTCTTAAGGTTTCGTGCTCTGGGGTTTGGTGTAGGACCTTCACCTGACAAGGGTTTTGCTACTTAAATAAATGTTGAAAATCTACTGGCTTAGCACATCAAACTAAAAATACGAAAAGGCTAAGTAAGTTACATCCTAGGTTTCTAAAAAAACTAAATCACTGACATGAGCTCATTTTCTTTCATTTATACTTTAGCCCTTAGAGTAGAACGCAGAGAGAAAAGATCCAATTAACTAATGATCATTTTTATTATCCATCTCTGCTCAAGTAAAGTTTTCCTGAATTCAGTGCTTTATCACTGAGCTTACTTTGCACTGAAAAAAAAATGTATCCACTATTAACAAAAAAGAAAACCAAACAAGGCTCCTTCAACCCTCTTCTACCGGCCCTCTGGGGCAGAGGGGGTCCCTGGAAGCAGACGAGGCTGCAGCCGCCGGGACAGGGGGCAGCGTCCCGGGACGCACACTCACCCATCCGAATGGCAGCGAGGAGGTCGCTCCGGGCGTCGCTCACGGGCGGCTGCGCAGCCTCCGGCCTCTTTGCCTCGGCTCCCGGCGGGCCGTGCATCGGGGAGGGGGAGAGCGAAGAGCCGGCACCTGGAGGACCCGGCGGCGGCGGCGGGGGGCCCGGGGGGGGCGGGGCCGTGACCACCAGCCCACCGGAGGGAGGGTGGGTAGGACCCGCGTAGGAGGGGCCGGCGGACGCTGGGAAGGGGGGCTGCGTGGGCATCTGGAGGGGGCTGACGAAGGCAGTCTGTGCGGAAGGGATCATGGGCGGGGGCGGCGGCGGCGGGGGTCCTGAGGGGTTGTAATACTCCATGATCTGTGCCGGGAGCATCCTGGCGGAGACACGAAACAAGAGTCACCAAAGAGCAACCCAGGGTCCCAACCTCGGAGTTCCCGCACGCCTCGGAGAGGGGCCTCCCCGGACAAGACGCACACTGGCAGCTGAATTTACAACACTGCAGGACACGAACATCCACGCTCTGGACCACAGGACCACACAAATCCCTAGGTCGGAATTCAAGAGCATCTACTGACGTGCACCAGAAAGTTAACCACTGAAAACGTAACTTTCTGTGGAACACTGGAACAGCTGACTGCAGAGGTAAGAAGGCAGCACAAATGCATCCTTTGCACGAGGCATCTCAGAAGTGGGGGCTTGAAAACCCATCTTACAAGGGTTCTGTGGCCAATCAGATTGGACACTTCTGTATTTTATATCGCGTCTCCATGGAAATTCCCCAAGCCCATGACGCCCATCAGAACATCCAAAGCTTTGAAAACCCCTCCAGCCGAGAAATCTGCTGAGTTCCGTTTAGCCAAGAGCTTTCCAAACCAACTGGACCGCAAACCCTCCCTGCCTGATACTTGGGAAGAGCCACAGAACACACTCTGGGGATCCTGACTTAAAGAGAACCAACCACGGGAGAAAACCTCGGGGAGCTGAGGGACCTACATTCAGAACGTGACCCGCGCTGCTCTGGAGTGAAGAAAAACACTGTCGATGGAAACACATTTTCAGCTTCCCTGGGCACTGACTCGGAGGGGCTAACTCTTTAAAGACTGAGGTGGTGCGAAAACCACAGCCTATCAAAACACGGGCGGGGGCTTCAAGGAACAAACGCTGAACAGGAGGGTCTTTGTTTAGGTGGTGTTCGAATTTTTCCCGAACGACAGAAAACAAGAGGACCTGGTGGCAGAAGAGTATTTGGGTACCAAGAGGTCCGGGTGACATGTACAAGTGTAGCAAGCGCTGCACTGTATAGCTTTCTCCTTTGAGATACGAGTTCTCTGCGGTTCGCCCGGCATATCAGAGAAACACTGGAGCATCTGGGACAGGCTCACAAAACCGGCAGCTCATCCTTTGTCAATGCCTTGGCTCAGTCATTCAGACATAAAGGGAACGTGTGTTTGCGAATACAGACACCAACCTGAGGTTTATCTGTAATAAAAAGGGGCAGCAGCATGACACTGCATTTTTTCACACAGGATTTCTCACGACTGACAGTATCCGTACCCGGTCATTCTGGGCTGCATCCTGGCCTCCACAGTGTGATTATTCAGTGAAAATTCTTCCACCACGCACAGCAAGACCCCAGTGCAATGGCAAGGCACGGTCAGAGCCCGGGAGTGGGGAATTACCCGTAGTCGGCGGGAGCCAGGGGCGCGGGGGCCTGCGACGCCTCTGCGGCCTGCGGCGGGGGCGGAGGCGGCTTCTGGGGCCGGTTCAGGGCCAGGTGCCTGGCCGAGGCCGACGGGGGCCGGAACTCGTGCTCGGGGGCCTGGGCTGCCGGCCCGCGTGGCGGTGCGTCACCGGCTCCGTGGGAAGGCGTCCCGGGCTGCGGGTGCAGAGAATGGTTGGGGGTGGCAGGATACGAGTAATCCGTGACGTCCGACGCGTGGGACCTGACGGCCAGAACCAGGGGTGGGAGAAAACGACGTAAGTGAAAAAGATTTCCCCTCCCAGGCATCAGCATGTATTTGAATAATAACACGGCCAAGGCACAGAAATCACACGCTTTTTCCCTTTCCCATCAGCTAGGTCTAGGCCCACAAGCGACAATGTAATCACGACTTTGGCAGCAAGCGCCAGGGTTACGCGGATTCAGAGCCGCAGCTTTGAAGTGAGCGCATCAGACGGACACGGACGGGCAAGCGGCAGACAGCAGAGCCCCCTTCCTCAACGTCGCAGCCGACTCTCTTCCAAGAGAGGCTGCAAGACACACTGTGCTTAACTTGAAAATGGCATCGGAGACCTAAGATTTTAGTGCAACGAAACTGACAGCGTGTGATGAGACCTTATCAAATGGCAGACGGACCGGATACATATTAACAGTAAGAACAGAAAAAGAAATCAAGGATGCGATACGGTGAGTCGCGGTTTTCTTAAACAGAAGAAACATGTTTAGCCAAAAAGGAGAGGAGGAGTGCGGTGCCACGCGCAGAGGCCCTCTTGCTGTCTCTGAACGCACGGGTGGGAGGGAAACTCTGAAAGGAATGCGCGTCTCGTTTTAGTCAGCAGGGTTCAGGAGGATGCTGGTACCCGGCCGCTGGGGGAGGGGAGGGCTCGGCAACGTCACACGGTGTTAGTCACCCGGGTTACGGGACGCGTGGTCAGTACAGGGGGCACATCCTCTCGTGACGCCGAAGCAGGGGGCTGCTGAGGCTGCGATCCAAGAACAAGCGGAGCGACAAACCCTCTGGGCATCCTGTCGTCTCCCGAGCTCCCTGCCTGCTGCAGTTTCCTGGCGTCACTCATAAACTCAATGCCCATCTTCCTTCTCTCCCACTCTTCTCTTCTCGTTCTTACTTTTCTCACACTTACTTGCTGGTTTCTGTTAGGATTCAGCTTGTGTCTCTCCCTCTGAAGGAAAGAGGCAAACACACATCGGGTCTTTGGAATTCAGACAGTAGCGTCCCTGGAGCGTCACACCACACAGAAAAGTTCTTTAAATGGCAAAAGATCGCTGGCTTTTTTCTTTTTCCTTCCCTAATTGCAATATAATAATAACCTGTAACTCACTTTCTTCTCCCCTAAGTGCCCTATGAACTCTAGCTTACAGTGTACGTGTGCCTGCCTTCTGAACTGTGGCAACCGCTTGCTGGTCAGAGAGTTAAAAATATTTTCAACGGGGGAAGACTCTGACCTGTATTTAGATTTATCTTATTTTAAAAACGTAAATACCTAAAACTCTGGAGTCCTTGACGATGGGTGCTTGGCTCTGTCGGGGGGGGCTGCGTCATAGACTGGGCATAACTTTCTAAGGGAAATGGACTCGTCTACAAAACACGGACTGCTCCTGAGGGGATGAGAAGCCAGGAACTGGGAATATTCTGGCACGATTTGGAAAGCTGTCCTGTAAAGCAGCTTGGTGATAAAGGGCCGAAAGGAGGCAATACAAACGGCATAATCGGACGGAGGAAAGGAATGGGCGGTGAACGTCCGACATCAAGAATTACAGCAGGAGAGCGGGAAGGACAGGGCTCTGACGAAGGGTGGGTGGGAGACGGGACCGGTCACTCGAGGGGTCACTGCCCAAGTACAGGGGACACCAGTGGGCTGGAGGAGAGGTGAGGAGGGGGGTGACCTCTGAGAGACAAGGACCCCTACAGGAAGGCAGAAATCAGCCACAGAAGACACAGCACTAGTGTGGGCAGGAGCGGGTGGTCCTGAAGCTGCATGAGTGTCAGGAATTATCTGTTACGGGAAAGAGAACTTGGAGGAGTGAAGACAAGATGGAAACAGGAGGAAGTAGGTGTAAGCAGTGGAGACCCAGCGGGAGAATCAAACGAATCCCGCAGGGTTCTGTGGGTGGGAGGGTGGGCAGAGTCGGGCGTCTGCAACACCCAGGACAGGAGGAGGAAAGGGGCGAGGACGGTGGGCAAGGAGGCATCCTGCTTCCGGGTCGCTGGGGAGAGCAGTGGGCAGGCACTGCATCAAGTCTCATCCTAAACGTATGCTTAGAATCAAACCATCCCTGACCATCTACAAAGAGAGTAAAACTTATCATCAGTTCATGCAATCAGCTTAAAACATGTAAGTTATATGAACAACTTATACACATACCATGATACCTGATACTCAAACTTCCCTCAGTTATCCTGAATACATCCACTAAAAACCAAGTTTCTAAGTAATACTTAAAACGTGAATACAAGAAGTTAAAAAATCAGAAGACAGAAAACAGAGCAGGATTTCACTTTTGTAAAAAAAAAAAAATTTGCACATTTGCAGAAAAAAGACCAAAGAAAGAAATACACTAAAATGCAAAAAAAGTGGTTTCTTTGGATAACAGGATTATGAATACTTTAATTTTTTCTATAATTTGCACATATGGAAAGTTTATCTTATTTCATAATAAGAAAAATAGTGATATGCTTTAGTCAAATAAAAATTTCCAAAATAATTTAAGGGAAATCATCCATCAATTGTACACCCAGTATGGCACAATCTAATCTCAGATTCTAGAATAAATATCAATTATTCAACTGAGGGATTAAAAAAAGACATTTTCCATCTACCTACTGAAATGAAAGGGAATATAGGGAGAATTGCAAAGTATATGTTTTGCAGGAGTCAACAGTTAGCTGGAAAAAAACAAAACCCAAATGGCCCTCCTGGGACCGATCAAGTTCAAGCACTTCTCCCACCCAAAGAACTATGGGCACAAGGGTGTCATCATTCTTACTTTCCACAGAAATAAACTGACATAAAGATTAAAACTTGAGGCCAGGGCTCAGTTAAAGCTCCAGTAATTCTCTAATAGCTAACCGATCACAGCTTGTACAGAAAAATGACCTAGACCTGCCTCACAGGCAATGACTGACAGCCCTTGTGGGGTAGGAGTATTTATAGGGCTGTAACCACCAAATATCAAAAGCATCTTCCATCTGTCAGTCTGTGCTGAACGCTGAGGTTAATAAAGACAAACATTAAAAAAAACCAAAAACCCAGATCTAACGCAAGGTCCAGGTTGTCGCTGTTTGTGAAACATCCTTGAATCATGTAAGAATTCTCTATTCACATTTTTAAACACTGACGGAAGACTCCAACTTTACAGAAGCAGAAATAGGAAATTAACCCTAAGTTACAATTGACTGGTCAGTTCTTCTCCTTCAGTGAAGCCCTTTTGGGATAAATGCTGCTTACTGACCACATCTTTCACATCTGCAAGAGAGATTTTTACTTAATTGCTAACAAATTTTTAAAATAAACTTCAACAGAATTCTCCTCCTGCAATTAGAATACATAAGATTAGCGAACTGAAGGAAAAAAATCTTTGTTCATCACTTTTAGAAAAGGTTATCAAAAAGAACAACAGTTATTCCTTGATCACATCAGCTACCACCTACCAATCGGTTCAGATACCAAGTGAAAGGAAAGGCAACATTCTAAGCAAAAGAGGCAGAGGGAGAATTAAATGATTATTAAAATTAAAAGGGTCAGTCATAGGCAGTTACTATGCCCAAATTCAGAATCAATGTTAAAACAGTGCATCTAGGTTAATGGAATGCTCGAGTTAAGCCAGAGAGACAGAAAATCACACAAAGTAACCCAACGTCACAGAAAACTGCTGTAAACTATTATTTCGAAGTCAAAGCATATATACCGTTCATTTTTAAGGAAAGTTTGGAAACACACTGTGGGCCACAGAAGCACAATGCTACCGTGCATTTCCATTTACAGGGAAGCCAAGGCCGGCTTTGCACACACACATGCACGCGAACACGCACACGCACACACACCTAGTGTCTGGGGACAGGGATCCCTCGGAAGATGCTCCGTGGTGTACGCTCTGCGACAACCTGGTGTCGGGTCTAAGCTCTTTGTCATACGCCATCATATTCCATTCCTGGCGCCTGTTTCTGGCTTTTCTAACCTTTTTCACCTCCCGGGTTGTGCCATCTATGCGCTTTTGCTCCTGACGTCCGGGAAGGAAGGCAAGCGTGCCGAGACAGAGGGAAGGAAAAGAGCGGGTTAGTGCAGCGGCCCCGGCAGCCACGAGCCTGGCGTGCAGGCAAGGCAGGCCCGTTTCCATCACTCCCGGGTCAAGAACGTTCTAACATGCTTACCCAACTCAGACCCGACCAAAATAACACATACCTAACGATTTAACGTCGACACATCAGAGTTACCGTGCTGCAACTTCAAGAGTCGCTTACCGTCATTTTGGATCAAGAATTCTCACTTCACTAGGATTTAGCTCGTTTTCAATGTACGACACCTTTTAGATCCCTATCATACACATGAAATACCTGCCCGCACCAGACAGAGAAATCGTTTCCCACCCCACACCATTCTGACTTGTTAACGTGCAATCATCTTTCAAAACATAATTTTAAATGCTCCATTTCAGTTTGAAAAGGTTATTGCAGAATATTTAAGCGAACCCTGCAACTAGCTTAACCAAAAAAACAAGATAAGAACTTACCTTCCCTCCCGTTCAAAGAATCATTCCTGCTCCAGCCCTACTTTGCCAGCAAAAATGTCTTCGATAAATAACTTGGGTCCTACGCAGGTGCTTCTTTAAAGGTGAGGACAGTTACTTCTACGTGTGTTTACGTCCCTCCTGCTTCCCCCGTGAGACCTGCTGACCTTTAGGGAGGTGAACTATGCGCCTTTATGTCCTACGCTCCCCTCACGGCACCTCCACGCGCGGCTCTACAGAGGGTCCACGCTCAGTAAACGCGGACTGAATGATCACGTCCAGGTGAGCAATGGTGCTCACTACGTCCCAGCACCTGCCAGGCCCGGACGGTACAAACGGCAAACAAAAGAAGACAAGGATCTGCCCTCATGGAGCTTGAGGTCCAGCGGGGAAGCCCACAGAGTCACACAGGTAAATGCACAATTATGAAATGTGCAACAACACGACTGTATTACACAGAGAACGCTGTCCGGTCTGGAAGTCAGGGAGGGTGCCCGAGAGGCTGGGACGAGCTCTGCAGGGTGAGGAGGCCTGAGTCCTGCAGAGGAGGGGGGCAGACGCACGCAAGAGGCCATGGGACAGCATCTCGCCAGGAGAAGCGACAGAAGGCGAGTGTGAATTCGGGCGAACGGTGGGTAAGACCTTGAAGGCTGCGTAGAAATGTTGCTCTTTATCCCAAGAGCAACGGGAAACCATGAAGACTGAGAGGGGAGGGGCTGGCACGTGAGAGGAGCCCCTGTGCTGGGGACAGAGTCCACGGGGAAAGGCAGGGATGCCGGGCAGAAAGCTGCTCAGGTGTCCAGAAGGAGGGGAGGCCCATGGGAGAGGAGGGGAGCCGTGAGCCCAGGTACCCAGGAGGCTCAAGTGATGTGCTGGCAGACGACGTGAACGTGAAATTCACAGAACACATGCCAAGTGTTAATAAAGACACGGAAAGATGTGCCATTCGTATTTGATTTTTTGGGGGGTGGGGAAGCTCATCAAAAAATAATAATAGTTCATCAGCAGATGAATGGATAAAGAAGATGTGGTACATATATACAATGGAATACTACTCGGTCACAAAAAAGAATGAAATAATGCCATTTGCAGCAACATGGGTGGACTTGGAGGGCATTATGCTCAGTGAAATAAGTCGGACAGAGAAAGACAAGTACTGTATGATACACTTACATGTGGAATCTAAAAACTACAACAAACTAATGAATATAACAGAAAAGAAGCAGACTCACAGATATAGAGAACAAACTAGTGGCTACCAGTGGTGGGGGGCACGTAGGGATGGGGGAGGGGGAGGTGCAAACTAGTGGGTGTAGGGCAGGCTCGAGGATGTATGTACAACATGGGGAATAGAGCCAATATTTTGTAGTAACTGTAAATGGAAAGTAACCTTTAAAAACTGTATAAAATTTTTTTTAATTTTTAAATAAATGAAGATAATGCCAAATAATAATAATAATCTTCAGGACTGGAGGAGGCCTGTTAGGAGTATAAGCTGGTTCAGTCCTTAAAGGGTCAGGAGCAATAGGATGGGATCTTTCAAATTTTCAAGTTGACATTGCACTTCTGGGAATTTACTCTGACGAAATATGTGCACATGAGTACAGGTACCCCCTACAGTGCTGTAACAGCAACAATTTAGAAGCAATTAATTCGGTAATGGGTAAATAGTTTATGAAGCCTCCGAACTTTGGAATATGACACAACTATTAAAAAGCATGAAGTACACCTTTATTACGTCACTGTATGTATATGTCTGTGTGTGTGTGTATACAGGTCAATTCTAGGAATAAAAAATACTCTGTGACGTGTGTACACATGTATTTATGAACGCCCTACTAGGTCGAAAAGTATGCACATGTGTTACCAGAGGGTGGTTATGCCTGGGCAAGGGAGAAACTCACCCCCAAATTTTCTAAACAAATGTGTTTTACTTCAGGGTAGGTGGGGCATTTTACAACTGGCATGTATTGTGTGAACACTTTTAAAACCAAAAGAGAGAACAAAGAAGGGAGACCTCAATGGACTCCAATATACATCTCACTCAAGCGTCACTGTATTACACTAATTGATAACTATCACCCTTACTTTTAAGAGATGTATGCTGACATATTCAGGGATAAGTGTTATATCTGCCACTTTCTTTACAATGGTTTAGCCTCCAATCTACCCATCAACACGCACCCGACACACACACACACACACACACACGCACACACACGCACACACACACCCCAACTATAATAAAATGCGAACCATGAGGCATCTGCATCTCAACTACGCTGTCTAGGTTAAAATCCTGAGACTACTGCAAGCTGTTTCCTGCCCCAGGATGATCCTAGCTGCTCCTGTCAATACCTGAAAGCCCCTCTGTCTGCCCAGCACGCCTCCGGCATCCCCTCTCACGTACATGCACGCACAGTCGCACACACACTCACTCTGCGGAGCTAACTTCTGCTATCAGTCCTTGCACCTCAGTGAGCAACACCGAGGGGCCTTCCTCAACTCACCACCTCACCTTCTGCACCGTCACCCCACCTGCTGCTGCCACCTCCCCCAAGGCTTCTCCTTCCCAGCACTGTAACTACAGCCTTACAACGACATAACTATTTGCATAACTTAAAAAAAATGTTCTTAGACCATCAAACCAAGGAAATTTAATGTTCAGAAACAATGGATGTCTTATCCCCAAATTTTCTAAACTAATTCTTCCTTCAGATAGAATTGTCTGTTCCAAAGTGAAAGTGACTTTTGGGTTTCTAAAATCCTGGGAAATTAAGGATATCTTGCCTCATTTTCTGTTCCTATAGAAAGCAGATTTGTATTAAAATTTTCAAATTTCTTTCCCTCTTTGAGTTCCAAAGGACAGCATGATTATCTAATGTTTGTTTCCCCCGCTGTATTTTCATCTCCATGAGGGGGATAATCCTTTCTTTTTCATCACAGCATTTACAAGCCATTCAAAAAAGAACCGTTATATAAATGAATGAACACGAAATTCTCATCAGAATCTTACGTCTTTGAGGAATATGGAATGAGACAAAACTGCCAAGGAAATGACAAATAACTTTGAAGACACAGTAACCACACAGAGTAGATTAAGACTAAAGAACAGTGGCAAAAAAGTTAAATATTTTTGTCAAAAGTATCACTGATGCTTCTAGGAAATCCTGGGAGGCCACTTTAAAAGCAGGAGATTTTTAAAGGAGAGTCCTCTTAAAAGTACTTGGGGGTTTGCCCTGTTACCATAAAAGAGTTCGGGGATTCAGACCAACAGGCCTTTAAATCTCTGTTCCTTTTCCTTTGGAGAGATTAGTATCTTCTCTTTCTTCACCTGAACACTTTGCAGCTTCATTGCTTGGCTATTTCTCCACGTGAATACCCAGCAACTCTTCAAAGATTTCCCATTAAATCTCCCCAACCCATCAGCACGAGAAGTGCACACAGATAACCAAGTCTGTGGAATTCTCTCCCAGAATTCGTGGTAACCTCTCACACTTGCAGTCTGCAACCTATTTCCATGTTCCCTTTCCTAAATCCTGTTTTCAAATCTCAAGTTCTCTTCCATCTCGAACTGTCACTCCTACTGGGCCAATACACCTCCTAGATGTCTCAGAACCTTCAGGCAGCCAGCCCACAACATGCTAAGCTCTTAATTCACACACCCTAATAGTTGTCAAACAAAGCAGGTGGTCATTTTTTAAAACACAGCTCACATATAAAAGGCTTGGCAAATATCTGCCTTTGGAGAGTTAACTCTGATTTTCAATGGTTTAAGTCTAATTTCTGGGCCCCAAAGGGATAATTTTCAAAACAGAAGTTCCTTAATCTGAGAGTGGGTTTGTCCTCCCAAGAGCGTTTGCAGTACAGATGTCTCTCAACCTTCCAACTTGCAATTCTCCTGCCTACGACCACCCCACCAAAGGGAATCTCACTTTTAGTAAATACTACCCTCCTCCAAGTGTGCAGATCACACACGCTTTTCAATCCAATATGAACCTCTCACCACGGTCTTAATTACAGTTAGGTGACAACCCAACAATTAATAATGTTAAAAAGACCAAAGCAGAAAATTCTAACTGATACGGAATGTTGACTACTTTACGAAATTTGAAGAGCAAGAGAAAAGTTACAAACCACAGTTACGAACAAAACTGAAATTTCAGCCACTGTATTTATTAAAGCAAGTATTAGAGAACAATCAACAGTATTTATGGAAACAGTGTTACTGTGTTAGACTGCATGGTACCTTCACGTGACAGATGCAACCTCTAAGACGACTTCACGCAATTCAACATCTCAACCGTTTAAAGAATTTACTGATTTTAAACTTCTAATTTCTAAGGGAGAATCCCATTTATACGCACGTTTCCCGTACTAGAATTATCTACCTTTTGACGTCTTTTCTCTTTCCTTTTGTCTTCTGTGTCCTGTAGCATTTTTTCTTTCCAGAGGTCAAAGAAATAGGAAGGATCAGTATAGAACTTCAGCCCGTCCTTTTTATCATCTCTATAAACCAATGTATTACAAGTCGGGGGGGGAGAAAAGGTCGTTAGAGAGTTTCATACGGGGTAAACATTAATGTTAATTCTAAATCATGAGATGATAACATCTACGCGAGGAATCTGAACTGTCCTTATACACTGTTAAGTCTCCCGATTTTCCTTATTTGGAAAAATGTGTGAACATGCAAGAACAGCACTTTTTTTCTAGAATAATGATGTAAAAACTACTCTTGCAAATTTAGATTTCGGTACAGCAAAGTGCTGCCCAAATCACAATATGGCTCGTAAACAGCAACATTTAGTTCCACAGTTATTTCAAGGTATGTTCTGTTTATTCCAATGGGGGCCACACACACAGATGGATGGATTCTTAGTATATATATACATTCACTTCTACTCTGGAGCGACAATGTTATTAGGATAAAAATTAGCAAGTACTCTGTGCTTTTCTCTTAATCAGGTTTGCCCAATGTCTACAATTCAATTAGGAAAGGAGCAAAAGGTTCATGGTGTATAAATGTAACTAGGATAAAAAGTGATGACCTAGATATTTTTTTAAATGGAAGTAACCGACAAAGAAAATTCACTTGTAGCCATTTCATTGTCAAGAACTGCTACAATTACTATATTCTAAAAAATACTTCAAGTCTTTTTTTAGAAAATTTATTTATTTATTTTGAGCTGCATTGGGTCTTCGTTGCTGTGCACGGGCTTCTCACTGCGGTAGCTTCTCTTTGTTGCAGAGCACCGGCTCTGGGCACACGGGCTTCAGTAGTTGTGGCTCACGGACTCAGTTGCTCCACGCATGTGCAATCTTCCCGGACCAGGGCTCGAACCCGTGTCCCCTGCATTGGCAGGTGGATTCTTAACCACTGTGCCACCAGGGAAGCCCCAAGTCTTTATATAAGTTATTCATTTATCATAAAGCCAGTAAGAATGCAGCCAATACGAATCCACAGTTGTAATATAAATCAATAGATAGCAAAGCTCAAAATAATCATGATAAGGAGGGAACACTCTATTTATTCTACTAATGCTTTAAAAAGTATCTGGCCTGTATATTACCTTCAAGAGAAGGCAAAACATTTACATTTAAAATTAGCATGTCAGGGACTCCCCTGGTGGCGCAGTGGTTGGGAATCCGCCTGCCAATGCAGGGGACACAGGTTCGATCCCTGGTCTGGGAGGATCCCACGTGCCGTGGAGCACCTGAACCCATGTGCCACAACTACTGAGCCTGCGCTCTAGAGCCCGTGAGTCACAACTACTGAGCCCATGTGCTGCAACTACTGAAGCCCGTGTGCCTAGAGCCCGTGCTCCGCGACAAGAGAAGCCACCGCAATGAGAAGCCCGCGCACCGCAACGAAGAGCAGCCCCTGCTCGCCACAACGAAGACCCAATGCAGCCCAAAATGAATTTATTTTTAAAAATGAGCATTTCAATTAGTCATTTAAGGCATACAGAGAAAGAAAAAAAAAATCAGAGAAATGAGTATAGAAAAGAGTTTGTGGCCACACAGTCAAAGAAAGTGACATGAATCACTCAAGGAAACCTGGTCTTGAAGTTCCTGCTATGCCGTGTTCTGTAAGCTTCTCAGCATCAAATAAAGAGACCCAGGCTTTCATGAGGGTCATCTGGTAGCTCTGTCTTAAAGTCGCTAACAAATCAGCACAATTCACTCTGTACTTTAAACTTTAATTACTTAAAATCCTTTCTTTTCCAAATTTCCTAAGTGAGAAGCAACCTGCACTACTGAGATTTTATTAATAACATTATTGTGAAAAATATAAATTATTTCCCTAAGATACTAGGCCTTCAATATAGATGAAGACAGAAAAACTGAGCAGGAACTTGCTGCAATTTTAAGATGTATAAAATGCACCTTCTTTTTTTCAAAAATGGAGCTAATACTTAATGGAATAAATATGTTTAATAACTTAAGCAAATGTTAACCTTGACATCAGAATATAAGCAGAAATGTCCTATGTTTATCGCAACTAAACATTCGATTTTTCAGTCACATTGTACATCTCATATTTAAGACTGCATTGTGACTGTGTCATATTTAAGTCCAAATGCAGAAGTTTATGTGTTTTCTTACCCCAAACATTTCTGTATTAATAAAAAGTAGATTTGAGCTGGCACTACTATTCTTAAATACTATTAAAAAGTCAAAGACATTTTTCTTTTCCATAAAACTGAGTAAACACACAATAATATAATATATAAAGGTCGATTCATTTTTTATGCAATTAAACATTTTAAATCACCACAAATATTTAATCATGATCTTGAATAATCAAATACAAGTGGTTCATTGAATTTTCTGGGTTTCTTTTTTCCTTTAGAACAAAGTATTTAGTGAGGTTTCTTAGGAAAATTTTACTAAGTTCTCATGGCTCTGGGCTAATAAGTAAAATTGAAATTGTCCCAGAAAAATGTCTATTGAACAACAGCAAAGTCACAAGTTAAAACGTTAGGCTTACAATACCACTATTCATCTACATCTTTAAGTGAGTGCGCTAAAACCTCCAGAAAAGTGTGCTTGTTTCATATAAAAATGTGGTACCCTGGTCCTCTCCCATCACGGTTTCCATGGAATCTCTATTACATTTTTTGGAGAATCTTTCTGTCCATGCTGAAAGACAGGGATGCAGTCTGAATTACTGCTTTACTAGCAGAGCCGCAACAAAGCACAGCTCCAAACGTCTCCTTTTGGACCCTGCGAAAGGATAGTTAATTCAGACCCCAAAAACCTCTGGGCACTCCCTGAGAAGGGCCACTGGGCCCAGGAGGACAATAATGGACGTGAAGGACACAGTGATTTCAGGAAGGCCTCTGCAGGGGTACTACCCAGCAGAGCTAATCCTGGGGGACCGTGGGGACCCCACCACCAGCCTGACTGAGCTCATCAGAAGCTGCACCAGTGAGCTCAACAGTGGGGTGAAAAGACAGGGAGGTACAGGGAAGTACATGAAATGGGAAAGAACACACGGATGTGGCCGGCGGGAGGAGAGGAGTTCTAAAGGGCATTTTTAGTTAGTTTCTTAATATTCATTTTTTGCACATTTTCTATTCTTTTTCCTGGAAGTCTGGTCCTAATAATGTGTCCTACCACTTCACACAGAAGGTTGATTTCCTGACTATATATTCACTCTTAGAAACCTCTAATGCTGTAGAACATGTTTTTCTGAATTCAGTAACAAATGTCTGCAGGGCTGAAATGCCGAGACAGGTGTTTTGCTGCATTAGGAGCGAATCACGCAGTTCCTTTAAACTTGATTTTGCATGCGAGGAACAACACAATCCCGCAGGGTTATTACATAACGGGCCCACTTCTGCTCTAGATATCTGCATTTAAAAGCTAACATGAGCGCTCCCACTCCTCTTGGTAAACTTATTTATATTTTGAAAGACTCAGACTTTAGCAATTCTGTAAATGACTAATTTCACTGTGGCTAACACCGCAATTATCATTCTCAAAGTCTGAAAAGATATTTTCACCGCACTGCTCACCCCTCTCAACTCCTTTACACTGAAAAGGCTCTGGGGATATACAAGGCCCTACCTGTAAGGTGTAAGGATATTCAGAGGAGGCGGTTTATCACTCTGGTTGTAAATGTCAGCAACAGGATTGGGAATGCTGTTCTTTGAAACCACCTGCTGGTCTTGGACTGTGGAACTTTTGAAAGCTTTTTTCATGTTGATATCCTGTAGTGACACTATTTAGAGAAAAGTCCAAGTCGGGTTATATGGAAATATTTTAGAAACAAGTATAATTTGACTCACAATCATAAACATTTCCTAGAATAGCCAAATAATGTCTTTTATTGTTCACTTAAAACCATGCTTAAATAGTACACGCATCCCTTCCCTCTGATAAACAGTTATCTCTGTAAGGCGCGCCTTTCCTTCTTCTGTAGCGATATAATGATTTCATTGAACCTAATATTAGAGCGTCATTCTTTACTCAAATAGCATTTCTCAGAAACCACACAGGAATAGAGTTATGAGTATAACAGGAATGTAAACACAATACCCCTGGGTATCTTAGGGGGGAAAATCACTCAAACAGTTAATACCAGTTTAATTACAATACATGTGGGAAATACTTCTGCAAAAAACACACAAATGGAAAAACTGCATTAAATTTTTCTGACACTAACATTAAAGAGAGGGCAAAGCTTTTCAACCTACCTGTAGTCCTAGAAATTAAGCAGCATGATACGAATCTACACTAAGGAATGAGAGAACCAGGCTAATTACCCTCATTTCCTGAGTTTGTACAACATGTTACATCTCAGGTTTCAACTCATCTGACCTCCACACAGACTTTTTGAGGTGGGTAAACTGTTGCATTAACCCACTGGACCAATGAAGCTGACGGTCAGGGGTGTTAAATGACCTTTCCAAGGTCACCCTGCAGAACAGTGGCAGGTCCAAGGAGAGCACAGATTTCCTAACTCGGCGGAGGGATTTTTGTACAGTTACATCCATGGCAAGGAAAGTAATAAGGTAAAATCTTGACTGGCAAGAAATTTTAAGGATATGAGATATGCTGTGGAATCTCATGAGATTTAACCTACAGACTAACCTTCTCCAGTGTAAGGTTTATCACAGGCGTTACAACTGCAAGAACCAACAAAAAAACTGAAGACAAATATTTTTTAAAAAAATACTTGTGATACCATTTGAAAAGTGAATGATTAATTTAAAATGTTAAAAATTTCTTATCTGAATAGACCAAGCAGCTATTCAAATTTTTATTTTTTAAAATAAGAGATAAATTTTAAAAATCAGATTAAAAAGAGCACAGCTTCCGCTTGCTACTTATTGTTCGAAGAGTCAGTAAGAAATGCTCGTAACAGATATTAAATATCAATGTTCTACATTTCTGTTAAATTTTTAGTTTGCTAATTTAATTCTGACCTTTGAAAAAGATCTGAACATGAGAAAACATGTTTTTCTTAAATGATGAGGGATGAATTCCATAAACAACTATATTAAAAAAAAGAAAACCTTCTTATTACTACTACTATTAAAGGCCTAGTAGAAAAACCAGATGCTAGGATTGTTTTAATGTAACAAGAGAAATTGTAAGTACCCTTACATAAAGGTAAAAATAACTTTTCAAAGTAAATATAAAATGGCATATCTTGATTTGGGGGGACAGTTTTTTTCCAGTCTAATTTCAGTCTTTTGTTCAAAAGAGACAGCAAGTGGAAAAATTTTAAAAGGAATTGTTGAATATTCATTTTGTTGAAACTACCCCAATTTCAGGGTATGACCACCAATTAACTACACAGCGCCTGTCAACACTAACTTTGTTTTAAAACCCTGGAGCCTAGAGGCCTTCAGTAAATGTTATTTCTGGGTAGTTAACCCAGCAGGATCAGCGGCATGACTTAGAAGCCTCGGCCCTAAGGAGAGCAGCAGGTGATAGCTCCCCCTCCCCCTTAGCTGGACAGAGTCTGTGATTTTTAGGTAAGAAATTATCTTTACTACCAATAACTACCAATGACGTCCATGAGGACTTCTAATACTGAATGCATTCAAAGAGTCCTTTAAAACAAATACTACATGTGTAGTTTATTTAAAAAGAGAGTGTGGGGCTTCCCTGGTGGCGCAGTGGTTGACAGTCCGCCTGCCGATGCAGGGGACGCAGGTTCGTGCCCCGGTCCGGGAAGATCCCACATGCCGCGGAGCGGCTGGGCCCGTGGGCCATGGCCGCTGAGCCTGCGCATCCGGAGCCTGTGCTCCACAGCGGGAGAGGCCACAACAGTGAGAGGCCTGCGTACCAACCAAAAAAAAAAAAAGAGAGTGTGGCACACAAGGCTGACAAGATAGGACTCTCTTAATTACTAATTAACCCCATTGTTGTGGGTTTTCCCCCTCATCGTTCTTCTAGAAAAAGACAAGATGAAATAACAGCATACGACCCCAAGGAAGAAGCAGGAATTACCCTGCGATTAACCACTCCTGTCCCGTCCGCATCATTTCCAGCTCACAGCTCTCAGGCAGTTACCTACCCTCTTCCACTGTTGAGTCCAGCTGGGTGACTTTGACAGCAAGGCGATCGATTCTGTCTTGAAGAGAATTTGCTCGGATGTAGAAGTTGTTGGCCTCATTAAACAACTCACCAAATATGTCTTCAGCATGTTTGCCTGGAGAAGGAACGCACGGGAAAGGCCACCTGGTCAGAACCCACATTCTCACCCAAGCCAAACTCCAATCTCAACACGTGGGGTTTTGCGCAAATGATCACAAACATAAAGTATCACAGTCAAAGGCCTGTAGAATTTTTCAAAATTTATTAGGCATGTTCACACATATCTGAGACTGACCCAAAGTTGTAGAATTTTAAAATGCCCCAAAATGGTATAGAATTTTTACTTGATTGTTCCATGAGCTATTCCACCAGTTGCTTTCCATTAAACTTCTTTAGAAAAAACTACTCTCTCATTTTGCAGGCTGCATGTATAAACATCTCAGGACCTACGGTTTCCCTTTACTTCCCAAGGTAATTCAGTAAATCATGTTGTTTTCTAAACTTAGGATTTTACCTCATTCACAATCGGAAATGTTAGACATCTTATATGGCGCCGACAACTTTCCAATGGCATTAACGTCTTCTAATTCATATTTCAAAATCTAGGTATACAGTGCTGACTCTGGCCCTCCCTAAAAGTCGACATGTTGAATCCTGAGTTAAATTTTTCTCTGTGGATCACCTCTTCATGCTTGTGAGTTTTAGACATACTTCCCAATTTTTCTTAAAGTGTAATTAATAACATTTCTGAAAGTTTAACAAGCAAGATAGGAATCAGTATCTTACGATGAATTTCCAAATCCGAACGCTATTCCTTTATTCTCTCAACAAGCATTTAGTAACTACCTACTTGAGTGTACAAGGCATGCCTGCATCCTCTCTCCCCGGACAGAGATACCACTATTTTTTTTTTTTAACTAGATTTCATTTTTTAGACAGTTTTAGGTTCACTGAAAAACTGGGCAGAAAGCAGAGAGTTCCCACGTAACACCTGCCCCCCACACACATAGCCTCCCCTGCTATCAGCACCCTGCACCAGATGGCACGTGTTATAACTGATGAACACACACTGACATGCCATTATCACCCCAAGTCCACGGTCTACATTAGGCTTCACTCTGGTGTAGGACATCCTATGGACTTTGACATGTATATACAATGACGGGGATCCACCACTGTAGTTATCATACGGAGTAGCTTCACTGCCCTAAACATCCTCTGTGCCCCAGCTGTTCACCCCACCTTGGCAACCACTGACCTTGCTTTTACTGTCTCCACAGTTTCGCCTTTTCCAGAATGTCACAGGATTGAAGTCATATAGTAGAGAGCCTTTTCAGACTGGCTTCTATCACCTAGTGATATGCACTTAAGGTCCCTCCGTGCCTTTTCATGGCCTGATAACTCATTTCTTGCTGTCACTGGATAACATCCCATTGTCTAAAAGTAACACAGTTTTATTTATCCGTTCACCTACTGAAGGACATCCTGGCTGCTTCCAGTGTTTGGTGATTATGAATAAGCATTTGGGTGCGGCTTTCCGTGTGCATCTAAGTTTTCGACTCACTTGGGTAAATACCAAGGAGCATGACTACTAGATTCTACGGTACGAGTATGTTTAAGTCTTTAAGAAACAGCTAAACAGTCTTTCGAAGTGGCTGCACTCCCACCGGCAATGAACAAGAGTTCCTGTTGCTCCACGCCCTTGCCAGCACTTGGTGGTGTCAGTGTTTTGCATTTTTGCCATTCTAATAGGTGTGTAGCGATATCTCGTTTTAATTTGCACTTCCCCGATGACATATGATGTGGAGCATCTTTTTATGTGCCTGTTTGCCATCTGTACACCTTCTCTGGCGAGGGGTCTGTTCAATAAAAAGCCTGCACACAAATTACATATGTTTTAAATACTGCAACTAGACGTGGCACCAGAGTTAACGCCTGTTTGCTGCCTTGTCAACTCTTTCCTGAGCAGACTTGTGCATCTAATTACCTCATAAACATCTCCACATGGATGTCCTGTAAGACTCTCAACGCCAGCACAAGTTCTCATAGGAACTCGTGTCCACCTTAACTCAAACGTGCACCCCCACGTGGAAAGGCACGGACCACCCCGAAAGAAGCCCAAGCGAGAACACAGTCCTCCGGGACAGCTCCCTCCCTCCACGGCCACTGACACCAAACCTCGGCCCCTTACGCCCCCAGCCCCTCGGCTCTGGCCCTCCTTGTTTCTTGCCCGAATTACATCAACAGCTTTGTTTTTCTGCCTCCAGACTGACCTTCCGCCCTCAAATCCCTGCGGCACGCTGCTACTGCGCCGACCCTGCATGGCTCCCAGCAGCCTAACGCCACCCCTGAGGCTCTCAGCAGGACACGGGGGGCCCTGTGCACCTCCGCGCTGCCCCTTTTCTGGGCTCCAGAAGAACGCACTGGCGAAACCTGCCCCACTTGCTCACAAACCCTGTTAGTCCCTCCTCAGGTTCGAACCCGTGCACTGTCACCTCGCTCAGAAGACGCTGAAGGCCAGTGACGGCCCAGAAGGTTCTACGTGGTCCGGCTCATCTGCCTCGTTGGCCCATCCCCTGCTTTCCTCTCCCTCCCACGCCCCACGCGGGCCACACTGGCCCCTGCTGACGCTCAGCTGCGCCGGCCATGCCTGCTCCTCCCCAGGCTCACATCTCCTGTCCCTCCTGCCTGGGCCACTGCTGCCATCCAGTCCCGACCCAAGGTCACCTTCTAAGGGAAACCTTCTCCAGCAACTACATCTAAATGACCATCGCCTCCCGCCCACTCTCACAGACGTAAACAAACACACAGGCAGCCCGTCCCTGCCGGGCTGTATTTTTCTCCCGAGCACTTACCACCACGTAGTAAGTTACACACCCGTACTTATTCATCCCGTTTCCTGCCTGGCTCCTGCCACTAGGACATACGATCCGGAGAGGAGGTCTCTCCTCGGTCTGTGCGCTGCTGTTTCAGTCGCCAAGGTCTAGGGCGTGCCTGGCTCATCACAGGTGCTCAAAAAGAGTTTTGAATAAACGAATAAAAATGCATACACTTAAAATCAATCCTTCCAGATGCAGACTGGGGTCTGTGAGATCTGAGGCCCCGCTCTGTGTTCGCAAATACAGTAAGTCTGTTACATACGAACCTTCAAGTTGTGAAATTTCAAAGACCCGAACATGCGTTCCCAGGTCCAGTCGTGTACGTTAGTTCACGTGTCTGGCGTACATGGTCACGTGCGTGCGTCCTCTGCATGTGGTTGTGCTTTTGTGTACTTTACTGTGCAGTACGGTATAGAGTACAGCAGTACAGTCCCTTTATTTCAAGCCCAGGATATCCAGAAGCAAGTGTAGAAGCAGCAATGACGTGGCTGGTCCTACTGTACTTTTCAAGGTGCTGTACTGTACGATTAAAAATGTTTTATTGTTTGTGTTTGTTTTTTATGTATTATTTGTGTGAAAAGTATTATAAACCTATTACAGTACAGCACTATATAGCCAACTGTGTTAGCTGGGTACCCAGGTTTTGTTGGCCTTATGAACAAATTGGACTTACGAACACACTCTCAGAACAGGACTTGTTCACATGTCAGGGACTTACTGTACCCAAAGGACGCCTCAGTCACAGGACGCACCACATGCCCCTATTCTTGTCTTTATTGACGGAAGTTCTTTAAGGGTGTGAGCCATGCCTTATCTGCATTGCTTCTCTGCACTGTCTGTGCTGAGCCTGTGCTCAGTATCTCTTGAATAAAAACACATAACCTGTACCAGTGTTTTCTTGTTAACAAGGACACAGCCAACAAAGGCTCCCTGCTCATGTAAGTTTGGGAAATGCTGGACTAGAAGGATTAAACGTGTATCTATGCCTCAGGGCATCTTAAAATCTTTAATACACTCATGTGTGTTAGGATTCTGCAGAAGCCCCTAGCACACCGTTTTCAAATTGACTGGGCCTGGAAACACCAGTAACACCTTTCAGAAATACTGTTTTCTGAAGCCCATTTGGGAAAATGCCTGCCTGTTCACCGGGATGACCTGTAGACAGAGCACCGTGTTCCGAATGCTTTAGATCCAGGTCTAGGAGTTGTTTATTTGGAAGGCCAGACATAGTCAAAATGGAACCAACTGATTTTTGTTTTTCTACTTGCCCATTCATGGTTAGAAAAAAAAAAAATTCCAGTGCAACTCCAGAAGAATCCTTTTCCCTTCAACTCTGCAGAAATCTAATTAATAGGGACAGCATATACCAGCAAGAACACAGGCATATACAGCACAACCTCTTGCAGAAGAGACATCAGCGTTCTCAAAGCACAGCAAGCACTGCTGAGAAGCACACTCTGCTAGATGCTAAATAAGTTGAAAAGGGTCAATAACACGGGCCCTTTACCTTCCATGCTTAACCCTACTTGAAAAGAACATACAACTGCTACTATACTCCCATTGGAAGTTCTCAATTTATAAAAAGAAACAGAAATTAAAGACTTGCATACTTAATCCTTTCCAGCTGCTGAAAGCTGACGAGTGACTGAAGAGAAGGAAATGGAAGAACTATATTTTCCGATGAACAAGAATAAAGTGTTGCAATTACAGCATTCCGTTTTGCAAACTGCAACTTATTCGAAAAGCTTAATTGTACTCACTCTTCCAGTGGCAAGTCCAATAATAGCTGCACTAAAATAATTCTGAATTGAATTAAAGACCACACAGAGGTAAGCACCATTTATTCACTCTTTACTGACAAAGGATCCATTTACAGATTTATTGGCACCACCACGAGCTTACGTCCAAGTGTGTCAGGTCGCGAAGTGCGCCTCCCAACTGCCAAGGCATCAAAATTATGTGCGGATTTTCTGTTGTATTTAGGATTTTCGGGAAACAATGTGTGTCTGTGAGAGTCCTTCCTGCGGAACAAGGCACCAGTCATGATGAGGTCCTTCAGAAATTTTAATCCGTACACCTAGCACCTTGATCTTGGGTTCGTCACGATTTTGGCTTTCCATTTTCCACTAAAAGGAACGAGGCTCCTTGAAAAAATGACTGATTCTAGGGATGAGAGTGAAAAAGTACAAGATGCGCTTAGAATATCTCGGTGTGCTTTTCAAAAAAAGCAAAGAAG